CTGCGCTGTAGCAAAGTCCATGTCACCACAGTGGGAAGAGATGGGAAAGCCAAGGCTGGAGGGAGGCAGGCAGGCAGCGAGGAAGTTCTCACGTCGCCCCGGGATACTGCCCTGCAAGCTCCATGGAGAGGGATTTGAGTTCTTCAGAGTGGGAGAGGGAGATGGAGCCAAGAGGTAAGACAGTCACCTGGAGGGGTGCAGGGGCAGGGAATTGCTCTGCTTATTTCTATATGGTTTTACAACACTGTGCCCTGCACGCATTCTGTACACTCTGGCATTTAGATGAGGACAAGTGGTTCAGGATAACTTGAACATTGGTCCAACTGTGGTAACAAGAACTGAGACACTGCTACCTGGGAAGGTGGAGACCACATGGAAGGCCCAGGTTTGACTCCTGCCTCATCCCAAGAAGATGTAATCTCAGTGTGCCTGTAACCCCAGCTAGCCATGGGCTGTGGCAGAAGCATCACAGCAAAGCAAGATCCTGTCTTTAATTAAAAATAAATAAATAACTTAAAAATTAACCTATCTGTGTGTACCTCCATAAATTAAAAAGCTCAGAACTGTCTAAGCTCAAGGAAAAAAGCTCTGCTTTGATAATCTCCAAAGGCAAATAATAAACAAATCCAATATTTAGTTTGGGAATGTGACATTTTATTTCCCCAAGTGTATCTGCCATTAATGCTATGTTTTTCATTTTGCCAATGTAAAAATGTACCTCGTACTTAACTACAAATTGCCTGGACAGCAGGAAGAGGAAAAAGAAAATCAAATGGAACCCAGGAGCCTGTTTATAAGCACAGGGATGTAGAGACTTGAGAAAAATGCATGAAAGCAAATTGGCTATGACAGCCGTATGTCAGTGCCCTCTTCGTCTCCCTAGGTTGTAGGCATCAGTATCACCATCAGAAAATTCTACAGACACCTCTGCTGCTTGAGTGGAGTAATTGCCTGTTAGTGACACCATAGAATCTCTTCAAAAGCTTTCCTTTATCGTTAACCATTTGTGTCTTGAAGCTCACTCAGGCCTCTTTCACGAGGGCGCTAATTCCATTTGTGAGGGCAGAACCTTCAAGACCTAATCATCTCAAAGACCTCACCTCTCAACAATACCTTCTTGCTGTGTCCTCACGTGGTGCAAGGGTGAGCGAGTACTCACTGGACACAGAATCCGCTGGCACCTTGATCTTGGACATGCCAGCCTCCAAAACTGTAAGCAATAAATGTCTGTTGCTTATAAATGACCCAGTCTATGGCATGTCATTATAGCAGTCCAAATGGAATAAGAGAGCGACTTCAAAATGCACTCTGATTCTAATACACTGACTTCGATATCCTCAACTCCTCCTCCTCATCTCCAATCCTCTTTGTCAGTAAGTCCACACTTTAGACCAAAACCTGTCCACCTGTAAGATCCCAAACTCTTGAGTTCTCCCTCTCCAACTGTCACCTTAAAGTTCTCCCTGTGGGGGCCAGCAGATGGTGTGATGGTTGGGGTGTTGTACTCCCACATGGCTGACCAAGGTTCAAGTCCTGGACCTGGCAACCTGCTTTCTCACTTCTTTCCCTCTCTCTCTGTCTCTCTCTCTTGTCAAATTAAAATAAATAAATAAAATTAAATTAATTATTCTTTGTTTAAAAAAATAAAAAACTTCCCCCATGGATCAACCTTGTCATACAGTGGTTAAGTGCTATGCGCATGGAGCTGGATCTCACATGGCAAATCAAGATTCAAATCCCAGCCCCAGCTGCATTCAAAAACACATTGGGCAGATGTGCATGTGTACCCCAAATACTGCATTTCCCCCCAACTCCTTGCCCTCGGCTCAATGTCCATGTGTCCCCAAGCATCCATTCATCATGTACTTCCTCCTTCTCAAGGCCCACCTCCTGCTTGCCTTGAATCCATCCCTCCTTTCCCATCTTTCTGTCATTCCTGCCCCTTCTCTTTTGCCTTCAAATATCTCTCTAGACTATAGCAAGAAAATGGGTGTCTTCCTTGATCCTCTAACTCCCTTGATCTATCTTTTCTACATTCTTCTTCCCCTCAATGCCCACATTTTGGCAGAAATTGTCTCCATTTTCAGAACTCACTTTCTTCCCATCCACTCACTGTTATTTCTCACTTTTTTTATTTGTGAGAGTGCATGCGTGTGCACAAGAAACAAACACAGACAAAGAAAGAAAAGCAGGTGTGCCCAATAGGGTCTGGTCACTCTGCAATCCCTTTCCCTTAACCCTGAAGCTCATCAAGATCTTAGATGTGTGTACCTAGCGTATTTTCAGGTTGACTCTGGATCCAAACCTATGGTCAGCCATGTGGCTTCCAGCACTGCTGTTCAGTACACTACCACCTGTGCCACGGAGGCTGGCCCTGCTACTTATTTTATTAACTCATTTCTTGAATAGTCAACACATGTTCACAATACAGAATCCAAGACATTCCAGAAGGTTCGCAGGGAAGCAACACCCTTCCATCAATATCCCTAAGGCCCCACATTCTCCTGCGAAGCAATCCTCACTATCAGCATCTTATCTTTCCAGAGAGCAAATGCATCCACATATTCTTATTCTTGTCTGTATTTTTATACACGTGGCGGCATTTATAAACATTTTCTACCCTTTACTTTTTTCATTTAAAATATCTTATAGATTGTTCTACATCAGTATATCCAAAGCTGCCTCATTCTTCTAAACAGCTGCCAAGATTCCACTGTGAGGGTGTACCATAAATTCCCTACTCTGGACATGAAGGATATTTCTAGTCCTTTCTTCTGATGAAAATGCTGCAGTGACTACCCTTGCACATCTAGAAATTTTCCACTCTTGTGAGTGCATCTACAGGATAAATGCATAGAAATGAACTTCCATTTTGGAATTGACTTGCTGTCCCTAGAAGTGATATCAAGTCAACAACCTACAGCAATACATGAAAGACCTCAGTCCCCCTCATACTAATAAATGCTTTCAGTTTTGTTAGTGTGATAGGTGAAAAAGTACACCGTTAATTTGCATTGCCTTTTTTTTTTTTTTTTGAGAAAGGTTTTTGCTATAGGGCACATGCGCTCGCCAGACAGACAGAGAGAGACATAGAGACAGAAAGCGAGAAATCACCCCCCGGGGGGATGGTCCTGCCACAATCCCTTCTCCTCCATTCTCCTCTCAGGATCTTGGGCACGCACGCACACACGCCTGGCATGAGTTTAAGCCACTTGATCCAGGACTTGAACAGCGGTCGACTGTGTGGGAGTCCAGCGACATAGCCATTACGCTAACTGCTGGTCCCAATTTGCATTGCTTTATAGAAATGTAGCAAACCATTCTTTATACGGATGTATCTTCTGTGAATTGCCTGCTCCTATCTCTCTTTTTTTTTAATCTGTTCCCATCTTTTGTCCATTTTTCTATTACGTGTTTGGTCTCTGGGTATTGTTAGGAAAACTCTACAGACGAAAACTAGCTCCTTGTCTGTGATATGAGTTGCACATATTTTTAGTCACTCTGTAACCCTCTGCAGTATGTCTTCTGTGCCCAATACAGCAGGCGGAACAATTGTCTTCTGGCTTCCTGAGCTCTCCTCACTGAAACATCCAAAACATTTCCATGTGCTCATTTTTTTTTTCAGCACTTGACACTGCTTAAACTCTCCTTTAATTCTTTAAAGAATTATTTTTATATAATTTTATTAATTATTATTTTCAGTTTGACCAGAGAGAAACAGTAAGTATGAAAGCAAGCCACCGGGTGTGGGACTCACACTGCTATTGGCCATGTTGGAGTCCACCACCTTTAACCACCATGCCACCTGCTGGCCTCCTCTCCTTTCATTTTATTTTTTATTGTTGTTGTTTATTTATTGATTTCATGAGCAAGAAAGGAGAAAAATAGAGCACCCCCAATAGGGACCTGATGCTATGCTCCACCCCAGCCTCAGCTTGTGCCAGATCTGGGCAAGCACATCCCTGCTCGCTCAGGTAGATCTCTGGATCCAGAGCCTTCCCACACATGTCAGCCTTGCATAGCATCGGGTTTGACTGCTGGGCCACCAGCCTCATCCTCATATATAATACATATATATATATACGTGGTGGTCGTGGCCTGTGGGTAACCCAGAGGTAAAACAACGCTCTGCAAGGCTGACTCACACAGGAAAGTGCCAGGTTTGGAGACTACCCTGAATTTACCCAGCAGGTGAGTTTACTCATGATCCGCGGCTGCCTGAAGCCAGGGGTGATCACAGTGTCAAGATCCTGTTGAGGGTGCTGTCTCTTGTCCCTCTTGCTCATGGAAGAAACACGTGTGTGTGGGCACACACAGGGGGTGCTTAGTTACTCCTCGGGACACATTAGTAGTTGGAGGCCTGGATGAGCTTTGGCCATTCTTGTTTTGTTTAACTTACCCAACAGAACGCACTTTGATTCTGCTCTCCAGCCCCCTCCAGCCACGCTGTCCGGTTTTCACTGATGCTACAGTGTACCCAGACCCTAGAGAACTGATGGCAAGGGGCCATCACTAAGGCACCGCCCTGTGCTCTAGTCCCGGTGGCCATCCCCCGGTGTCAGGCCAGTGTGAAGGTGGCCTAACCCTGGCACTCTAAAGCCGGTGTCCACTGTGCACCTGCAAAGCCCTGCTCTCCTTTCAGTCCCATGGTAGGGTAGGGGGCTCCCAACACACATGCAAAGGCCCTGCCGCAAATGGCATGGGGCCCGGTGTGGCCGCGGAGCCCTCTGCTATTCTGAGAGCTCCTGGGATGGATGGCTAGTTGTCCTGGTACTTGAGCATTTCCAGGGGTCCCAGGACTCAGCAGCTCTGCTCTAAGGGATGCACCCACCCTTACACACGCAGATGTACCAGCATGTTGTTCGGAGGCCAGTGAGGCGAAGAGGGGCATCAGGGAAGGAAGTTCAGACCGCTGCCCGGGCGGGAGAGAGAAGGGAGGAGAGAGGTGAGACGCTGGAAGGGGTGGGGACCGCTGGGCCGGCCCAGGCGGGCCTGTGCATCGCGAGTGTGCACCGCGCTGAGGTGCCCTGCACGTCGGGGCAGCAGGACAGAGCCCAGGTCGCGCGCGGAGCCTCAACGTGCCTGGTTCCGGCCGCAGCCATGACGGAGAACTCTGACAAAGTCCCCATCGCCCTGGTGGGCCCTGACGACGTGGAGTTTTGCAGTCCCCCGGTAAGTCCCCCTGCTGTTACCCCACACGCGGCGCCGGGCTGCGAGTGGGTGTCCGGTTCCCCTGTCCAGGGTCAGGGACTTATGCCACCGAATGTGTACGTGAGGTACGTACCCAAATGTGTGCGTGTGGGTGTGCGGGGAGCACGGGGTCACAGGCGGGAGAAGGGGACACCCTTCGGCCGGCGGCGAGTGCACGTCCCGGGGCGATGGCCCTGCCCCGCGCAGTTTTCTTTTGATACTTCCACGCCTGAGTACATTGAGCCCTCGGGAGGAAGCGCGGCGACAGGGGACACTCGAAGGAGGCCAGGGAGCGCC